GATATGGTAGTTCAGTGGTTACGATGTTGGACGTCTGCTCAGAAGGTCGTGAGTTCAAAACCCAGCAGCTGTCGATGCTGGGCCCTTGAACAAGGCCCTTCATCCCCAGTCATTTGTAAGTAACTTTGGATAATGGTGTCTGCCGGATGCCTTAAATGTAAAGCCAGATGAAAGTTTTCCGTTACACTCTCCCTGCCAACTGCGTGTTGCTGATGTTCACTTCACGTCCTGCCACTGCAGATCTTCAGCTCACATCGAAAACGAATTCATTCTGACTGCTTTGTTGTATCCATTATTGATTAGATGTTCCAAACTCTACTCGCTGCTCTTTGATACAGTTCTATCATACAGTACTTGTCTCTGTTCTCACCAAGGACAGGTTGTAATAAACTATTCATTTCTTTCTGTCCTTGAGCTTTATTTCATGTGTAAAATGGAAGTGATATATAGATACAGTTCATATCTAATGACTTCTTGCAGGTTGTTCTCATCGCAAGGGTGATCTTTCATTAAATACAATGAGCTCCTTCACCAGTTTGACCTGATTAGAGCTGACTGAAGGGGAGAGCTATGCTGACATCATGCTTTTTTAATCTGTTTATCTACTGTAATAGTTAGACAGACCAGTGGATTGTTATTTTACCGTTTCTTTGTATTTTTTTATTTATGACTTGGACTAAGTCAGGCCAGTTTTTGTTTTAGAAGTGTCATGAAGTAAGAAACAAGAGCGGGACTCGATAGCCAATGAAAAGTCACGTGGCATGGACAAGATATACAGCACAGTAAACGTGCACTGAAATACAACAGAGATCATAACTGTACTACTGTAATATTCGAATCCCAGAAGGCAGGTGGATGTAATAACATTGTCTGTTTATTTAGGCTTATTGAACAAATCACGGTCACCATCCGTAGTAAAGGCAGTCAGGTTTAACAGAATCATTTACTGTTAGTCATTTAGCAAACACTCTTAGCCAGAATGACTTACACAAAAGGTGTGAACTGAAGGCAGAGCAGTACAAAGCACGCAGTGAAGCTGCAAAGATTCATAACCTTAAAGACAAGACACAAATGCTAGTATGTAAAATTGCTAGAAAGGTCTAGATGGGGACAAAAAGACCGAAGTAAAGAATCAGTAATAAGTTTAAGAGAATGAAAGACAATTAATTAAAAAGAATAAAGAGCATTTTTGAACTTATGTGTATAAAAAAACAAATACAAATGAAAACAAAACCCAAAAAGTAATACAAAAGGCAATGTTGGGTAAGTGAAGAGAAAATAATTAAGCAATAAAACACTTGGGTAATTGCTGTAATTGAACTTTTTATCCATTGTTTGTTACATTTAATGTTTGCACATATATAAAACAAGCTAGTTCCTATTATCACTTACGTTATAGCAGCTATAAACTGCTATATGGTTCCTTCACCAGCCTTTCTCTTTTCCTGCTTGAAGTTATTAAGAGAAAAATCATCCAGCTTGTTATATTATCGAGTAACAATAATATTATTAATATAAGTACACACGTTTATGTGTTCATGTGGTGCATCTTCCATACACGTCCCTGTAGATTATTGTCATAGAAACAGCCTCTTAAAACAAGTGCATTAAAACCTGTGCTTTCTCATGCAGCAGCACTACTTTCATAGCGGATGTGATAGAAAATGAATCGACATCTTCTGACCAATCAGAATTAGCATAAGACACAATTAGGCATATAAAAATAAATCCATAATTATAACTTGTTTGTTTGTTTGTTTGTTTTTTAAAAACTCCAGAAAGATGAAAGAGTTGATTATAGAGGTGATTATAAATTTGGTCAGTAGAACAGGAAAATAGTTTTGTAATGTAACATAACGTAAAATAATTTAAAAATATAGTTTAATCATTTATGGGGCGACTGTGGCGCAGGTGGTAGAGCGGGTTGTCCGCTAATCGTAGGGTTGGCGGTTCGATTCCTGCCGAAGTGTCATTGGGCAAGACACTGAACCCCAAGTTGCTCCTGATGGTAAGTTAGTGCCTTGCATGGCAGCTCTGCTACCATTGGTGTGTGAGTCTGTGTGTGAATGGGTGAATAAGAACCAGTGTATTTATAACGCATGTATAGCACTATAACATATAACATATCAGTTAGAATAGATTAACATTTAAGAGTTCACATACGATACCAAAAATATTGATTAAGTATATCTGCATAAGTATATCTGCTGATATGGAGAGATGGAGAGTATCTGTTAACTGACATATTCTTCAAATACCAAGTGTATGCTAATTAATTATTGTGAATGCAGTCCATGGCACGGAGAATCGCCATAGATCCTAATTATCATAATATATTCACAAATACACACCAATATACTATTCGTATTCAGTCAGAAGCTGAGAGCATTTTAGGATTTCAGCCAAATTGATAAGGATTTTAGGCAGTAAAAGGCAACGCTATAGGTTAAACCTGCTGATCAAATGCACACATGCTGTTAACTTATCGACTGTCAGCTGAAGGAAGCAGCATGTGAAAACTTCAGGTTTGAACCTCCTCAGGTTTGAACATCAATATTTATACACACTGTGCTACTATTATGCCCCACACCTACAGCAGATATTCTTCCCACACACTCGGTGCTGTAGTTTACATTAACTGGAGATTTGCTTGTCTGGGCTAATGGCTCAATCGTCAGGGTGCCGAGAAAACCTCATTTCATAATACATACAACTTCGAAAGTGTGAGAATGATTTCGTAAAATCGATTATGAATTATTTCATTGAGTTTATTGCTTCACGTAGGTCGCTTTGTGCACAGGGGCATTGTCATGCTAGAAAATTATGTGCGTCCAAACTTATGGCAATACTTTGTGAAAAACCGCAAACGGACATGATGGTCAGGTGTCCACATACTTTTGGCCACATAGGGTATATACCTACATATACATTTAGATTTTCAGTATATTCGAAAAACTGGAAGTTGTCCTAGAAGTAGTGAGCTAGAACTCAGGCGAGAGAGACCTCTGCTGGTGGGGAGGTGTAATGTCCTGGGCTGGTTTAACACAATTGGAGAAATTCTGCAACTTCTTTCCAAAATGTTGACAAGCCTAAAGAATTCAAGCTACATCTAAACTACAGTGGGAATTGTGTGCTGTGGTCAGACAAGAAAAACTGAAATTGATCATCAGGTAAAATCGAGAAGTGACTTAAATTCCGAACGAAGCCTCGTCTCATATGAAGTGTCTTCAAATATTCAATAAATATTTATTTCCATTCTATTAAAAGATCTACTTTCCTTCCATTTGATTTTTCATAGCTGTAACATGGACGAGTCTTCCCTGATTTATCATTTATAATTTGGCTGAAAAACAACATTACAGCTCACCTTGGACCCTCCAGAAATAGATAGAGAGGATTTGCCTTAATGCTCCCCTTGACTTTAGCTATGCTACAATTTATAGCTTTTGAGGGGCAGAAGACGACCACTTAAACCACTGTACAGGGAACAAACAATTTGTTCAAAATTACAGCTGCAAGCAGGGAATTAAACTTAATGAGCTGATGCCCGAAATGGCTGTTCTCATACAAGCCCCTTGAAACGGTTTGTTTCGACTGACCTTGCGTTAAGTGAAGTACACAACATTCTCTCCCAATTCGTTTTCTTTCTCCAGGATCTAGCAACACGTATACACACGTAATTAACTTACAAATCCTGAGGAGATTCACCTATTTATATTGCTGGATGTTCATCCATACATCTTATTTCTAACAACAAAGAAAAACTGCCATTACTGTATTTAAAAATAAACAAATACTTGTAACAGCATGTCACAAAGTGTTTGTCCCAACAATTTAATTTTTATTCATTAAAGAATGACACATCTAAGACCATCTTTATCTATTCCTACATTTTGTGTTGGGGAATAACTGGGAGATTCCTGCCTCATTTTTCTCTCTTTTAGAGTTAACGCAGAAAAAATACATAAATAAATAAATAAATAAATAAATAAATAAAGGTAGCTTGTCATGTGACTAAGAAACCATAAAGTGTAAACAACTCCATTCTGAAATACTTTGTTGTAACGGTAACCGTAATGGTGCTGACTTACAAAGCGCTGACACTGGAGACTCCTTCCGTAATAATTGATGTTTCTAGATGTTTCACCATATCAATTCTTCAACATTATTCTTAGTTAAACAAACAACATGTTTTTTTTTTTTTTAATCCATGTAAACATTAGGTTTTGATTATATAGAGCTCTGCATATGTAATTCTATGTAACTGGTTACTATAGAAACGATAACAGGTCAGAACAAGTGAATGAATATAAATACTCCTGTCACAGCTGCTGTTATAAAAAATTCATCAATGTACCTTCTGACCAGATTGGAGAATTCACCAGCCCTGTGTTAGAAACATTGTCTATTTCTTCAATATTTATTTATTTGTTTGATTGTTTACTAGTATCCGGGGTTCGAGTCCCGCCGGGGCCGTGTGTGTGTGTGCGGAGTTTGCATGTTCTCCCCGTGCTGCGGGGGTTTCCTCCGGGTACGCCGGTTTCCTCCCCAAGTCCAAAGACACGCATGGTAGGCTGATGGGCATGTCTAAAGTGTCCATAGTGTATGAATGGGTGTGTGAGTGTGTGTGTGATTGTGCCCTGAGATGGACTGGCACCCTGTCTAGGGTGTACCCCGCCTTGTGCCCGATACTCCCTGGGATAGACTCCAGGTATATAATTTTCTGGGCACAGCATAAGGATATAACAAGGAATTCTGGGCCTGCTGACAGAATATTGTTCTAAGCATCAGTCTCGTATTCTTTATTATATTATGTATACAATTATCATAATCTTATTGGATTTTTGGTTTTTGTGGTTTTTGGTTTTTGTGGGTCAACTGTCTATCTTTCACACCGATAGCAACATCCCTGTTGTCTCTCTCTCTCTCTCTCTCTCTCTCTCTCTTTCTCACACTCACTCTCTCGGCTGTCAGTCATGTCCGACTTTGACGTCCGTATGGCTTGTCTCCAAGAAGATCTCATTTGGGCTTGTTGGTACCATGTATCTGTTGGTATGCTTTGACTCCTGAGATT